ATTGACATTCAGCTCAAAATGTCACAAAATTAAATAAATTTCAAACTATAAACTATTCTGAACAGTATGTTACAAACATAATATGTATAACTATTCACATTCCCAGTCCAATACTTGATTCAAAACAAAACATATACTTGGGTACGAGTTGTCTTGGGTACGACTTGTCTTGGGTACGAGTTGACCAGTTACCGACTATATAGTCTATATGAGGCAGAGGGTAGTATATAACTAGACTCTGCGCACAGGGTATTGTATTCTGCATTCTACATTGTAAAAGTGGTTGCACAAAGTAAATAAAAGCTTAAAGCTTCCTGATGTTCATTTGTCTTTCATGATGTAACTATGGCAATATATCAGAAGAGAATTTCTTAGTATCTTAGAGAAATGGGCACCTGGTTGTTGTTTTATTTCGTCTTACCAGTTTTAGGCTACATATTGTACATACTTAAAGACCTAGACACTTCATGTACAAAATAATAAAATCACAAATGACATTATTAGAAAAAACCAACAATATTAAAGCTCCTAATTTCACCACTGATAACCTACCCTGGACCCTACCAGGGCTAGTAAGATTTACTTCACTCTAGCTCGGATAGATGATCTTACAGATTTAATGCTGATAAGAAGTTTAATCTTATTGACTACAATAGAAGTAGCTTCTGAAGCCAGTGGTTACAATTTTCTGATTGGAAGGATTGTCTTTTTCGAAGAATGTATAAGGAGGTCTCTTATAAAAAAATATTGAAAAATGTACTGATGACCCAGCCGTGATGTCATTTTTAAAACTCAGTACTGCATCTAAATTTGATCAACTGAGAGCTAGTCTCGTAATTGATTCTTGGCTAACCATCGTTATGATAACCTATCAAATATGTAGTTTAATTTGATAGCTCAATTATAAAATTATTAGTTGTACCATGATTACTGCCTCTATGGGTAGATGTAGTTTTGTTAGCTGCCATTCTCATGAGCTTGATTTCATCAACAGTAAATATTCAGTTGAGATCATGAAGATCTTATTAATCAAAACTGTAAAATCAAAAAAGTTCATCAAAATAATAATAATTTTAAGCAACATATTACAATGGTCGTACATCAAGTCAGTCAACCCTTTGAAACCATAGAGAGGCAATAAAGCAGCTTGTCAAAAGGATAGTACTTATATGTCGAGAGAAAAAAATGTGAAATTTTCAAATCTCTCAAAATCTTATTCATGATAATATGAAATACCATAGAGAGGCAATATAGCAGCTTATATATTTTTAAAAATATATTTAAAAAGAAGAAAGATGTTTCAAAGCAATCCAGAAAATGGCTCATTTAGTTGTTGATAACTTCATAGCATATTATGAGTTTGCAACAAGATGGCATTCAAAACTATTTTTGGAACTGAAAGGTCATGAGATTTATTTTTGGGATCATCTTATCTTATATATTGTGAATGTTGTGATGAAGAGAGGTGTTTACATTGTTTGTTAGTTACTCTCTCTATGTTCATTTCTCTCTAGGATGTTTCAAATGCAACATTCAGGGTTATGTAATTTTTAGTATCACATTATAGGCATTTGAATTTTTAGAGCAAGAGTTAAGGATTTTGAATTTTTTAGTATGACATATATTTGAATTTTTCAGTGGAGCTTTGAATTATTATGTATAAATTTGGCTCATTTAAGTTTGGAATTTATTAGAAGTGCAAGTGCTGCACTTACAAATTCAGTTTAAGGAATTCTCTGATGCCCATTCAATACAAAGTGAGACAATCTACCATTGGCCAATCTGATCATTTTCAATAATTATACAACAACCTGTAGTTATTACATAAATGTAGGTATTCTTATTAAGGAAAATTAAGAGAGAATGTATGATAATGATATCAAAAATGATTAAAGGAAGATATATGTTACTACATATATGTTGTTAATTTATATATTCCTGGTTATAAATGTGTTGGATGTGATATTGTCTTTGAAGAAATTGTTGGTTGATGATGTTGCATTATTCAAACATAAACCTTGCTATCATATCTTCATATCTCCATAATACAATTTATGGCTATACATGCAAAACAATTTGCCTTGTCTTATGCCTTCGAGATAACATTGCTTTCTTATGTTACCTCTTGCATCAGCCTGTGAAGAACTGTTTGTCAGAGTATGGCGAGGAAGGGGGGGGGGGGTCTTCAAAAGCTTGATGGAAGACTATCTTATATGGTATCCACTGTTCATCCAGTTTGTTCAGATTGTTATATTATATTTTATGAAATGAACAGCCTCTAACATCTTCTCAAACAAGCTAGTTCCCCGAGGGACAGGCTTCCTGTTGAGAAGCAATCAAACTATCATTTCACCACACAATAATATCCTGTTACTATAGCAACCTTGTGGGATGGAGCTTTACGATAAGCTTAAGGGGCTGTTTCAAAATGTACTACTTTTTTCAATTCCAAGGTGTGAGCATTGTTTGATTGATGGAACACAAACCTACAATTAAAAAACATATTGACATTCTGTCTATCATTGACACTTAACATCAAAAACTCCCATGTGTGTCATTTTAGAAAACACATATTATAGTTGATACCTTGATGTTCAGGGTGAAAAATATTACTTTGATAACTCGGTACAGAGACTCATTGATTTTCAATAAATAATTCACACATGGACTAGTCCCACATGGCGAGATCTCTTGCTAGATTAGAGAAAACTGTGGGTAGGCTTGAGTTTAATGTTGAGGTGAATGCCAGCATGTTATTGATATATCAGGGTTGTTGGTTGTGTTGTATTGTTTCTTGAAGAATGAAAGCACTTGTTGAATATGTGTAAACAGTATGTCATTCGTATGAATAGATAATGGTCTGGTGTTATAATAGTGAACTTGTTCTATTTTACTAATTAGTGTGTGAAGTTGAAGAATATCAAAATATTAATTAGATACTTAAAAATCTGAGATACAAGATGGAATTTTAAATCTAGTAAAGCATGATGATAGGGTGAATTGTGTTTCACTTGTTGATAACGTATTGTTTTTAAAGATATGAACTATCAAATGTAATAGAATATAAAGGAATTGTTACATATTTAAATGACATTTCTTGAAATTGGGAGAATCAGTAATAATGTAATAATAATGTTATAAGGTTACAATATTCTGTAGGGTTGTTTCCAAAGCTGTTGTTTATCCTAGAACTGGCATTTCTAGCTTGAATGTAAGTGTATGGGAACACAGCCAGATAAGCCTGGGTCTGGGGTATTAGAGAAAAATTGATCTACACTGGGTTATTCTGGGACTGCCTCTACTCAGCGTTTACCCTACATAAGACAGAAGCCTTGTTCTCACAGTGGAAATCATCATGTCAAATCCCCCCTCCCTGGCTTGTGAAGGGATATTGGCTGTAGTGGAAAAACAGGGATGAAGCCTCTGGAGGCTAGCTTTATGTTGCCATGTAATTAACAAATCCCCACTAGCAGTCTAGAAACTGTTTGGGAGGAAAGTGATAAGAGACCAGAGTATATGGTGAACTGAAAATCTAAGTATTTCCAGGCTGAGTACTAGAGTTCTTATGTTTGGTATCAGACAGATTTAGGCTATTTTTTCCATATATACTTTACTCCCTGTTCACTTATATCCTCCTTATCATAACTTCTCATAGGTTAGTCACAATCCCTTATGTCTAGTACAAATGACCGTTATGTCACAACTGACCACAAGTGTTGTAGTCTCCAACTTTTTTGTGGACAGTGCTTGGCTTTCCAAGGTTTGTATTTGGTGGTTGACATCTGTAACAAATGACAGGCGGTGACATTCTGCATGTTAATGCCTTGTTTAATGTTGATAAAATCTTGATGATTTCAAATGTACTTTATGAACTTCTATTTACAGAAGAAAGTTTTGAAGACTTTATATTCTGATTGGATATATGTAAGCTCAAAAATTAGATGAACTATTGAACTAAGCAGAGAAAAGATCACATGAAAAAGCTGAAAGAATATGGCAGTCAGAAGTCAGGCTTTAATTAATGTTTTCATTGTGAAAAGAAATATGTCAGTTTACAATCACAATGGGTTTATTATGTCACCACCACAAGTGATATACTGTTATAGTCTCCAACTTTTTTATGGCTGGTGTTCAGCATCTGTAACAAATGGCAGGTGTTGACATTTTGCATGTTAATACCTTGAAATTCAATAAAGTTATCAAATCCATACTGTGTTTTTCTTTTTGGTTACTTATGTATTATATGTAGACTATATTGTCCTTGTGTAGAAGATGTAGGGTTGTTATAGGGTTGCTGGGGTCAGCCTAGATTATAGCTTGTATTGTTCTTTAACTGGCAGTCGTTCTACTGCATGCCAGATAACATTATTCACCATACTTGCTCTAGGTCTCTAGTTCACATGTAAAGTAAAAAAAATTTCAACTAAACATATTTGTGTTCAGATTTGCGGAAATAGGAATTTAACATATACAATTCTACAAGTGATTTGTTCTCTTTACAGAGGTTGCACGTGACAATATAACATCGGAGGTACATATTATATGTAGTTCATTGAATAATATAATAAGTATAGGGTATAGAGGTCTATTATAATTTCATACAAATGGTATAACAAGTGAAACAACAATCAAATTATTTGACATTATTATTTTAACATGGCGAAAGTTTGTTTTAAACAACCAGAGAAAATCACCTGTTGGCTGCTGATGGTATAACATGTGAGTGTGAGGTCCTCTTGAATGTTATACAGTACATACAGCCAAAATCACCTGCTCTCCCCTATACCTAGAGGGCATTAAACATGCCAAATGTCTTTCTGTATTTTGTCTTATTGATTAGTTTTCTTATGAAAATTGACCTCACATCAGAAAATAGAAAATGACTCTAGGTTCAAAAATTGTAAATATGATTTTTACAAATGAAAATCTAATTATGGTGGGTCAATTGTAAGATAAGTAAATATATCCTATAATAATCTGTAATTCTCTGTGTGTTTCAGGATCGTCGTGAGAGAGAGCAACAGGAATTAGAAAGTGCAAAGGAAATTGCTGATGAGGATTTTGATGGATTCAATTAGCTATCACAAGGAAGGACTAGTAAATTCAATTAAAGTATCAATTGTGAACAGAGTATCCTCAATTTGTCATGTTTTGGGGAATTTGAGCGTTATATTACGAGCTGCAGTTTGCCAGTTTGTATTAAAAAGGATACTTGTTCATGTTCTTGAAAACTGCCTGGGAAATCCAGTGTAACGATGTTATTTGATTCTGTGCATTAAGAAAGCTGGTAGTAGAGTTGCAAATACATGACCATTTGACCAAGACCAACCGTGATTTTTCATTTTTTTATTTAAAAAAGTTAACAGATAAGATAAGCAAAGTGAACATTAATTCCATATCCCAGTGTATGTTACATTCTATTAATAATAAAATGAATAAAAGAAAAGATTCCTATCACAGAACAAATAGTTCCAAATTCAAAATTTTAGAAAACAAGCCAGTTGCATTAGAATATAGTAAATATCAATTTACTTGTATCCTGTAATATCAGTACTATGGGTATGTACGGTGTTACACTCGATAAAAGTGGTTTTGTGTTGTGTTTTCTATGGTGACCAAGCTGCCAAGAAACAAGGAAATAATCTATATGAACAGTCATGTTACTTCCTTCTTGATGACGATTCATCACATTTTAGCTGATAATCTCATGGCTTAAACCTAAATATCTCATTGGTTTGTCAAGTCCAATGATCCATGATCCAAGCTTACCCCCTTAATGTTTTGTAAAGTCTGGAATAATTTTGAAGGTCAATGTAATAGCATGAAATGTTCATTGTTATATAAATATATTTAAAAAATGATAAGATAATCAGTCATTTACTTGCTGGAGTTGCAAACAGAAATAGAACATGTTGCAATAATTTGGCAAAAATCCATTTGTAAGAAAAACTTATGTCAACAATTTCTCCCATGTTATTGATGATGTCATATTAAACAAAATACACGGAGTGTCAGTTTCCCATATATGGAGTGATGACATCATCAAAAGTTGCGGTCACGTGTTAGTTGTGAAAAGTGCATATATTTTCTTTGCCAAATTGAACCAGCATTCTTGCAATGGTTTGCAATTATTACACAAAATGAAAAAATGCACAATTGATGTATGTGTTATAACTACATTACATATTGTAGAACATGTACAATAAATACATGCATTATAGTATGCATAATGTACTTTAAAACATGTAGTATTCATACATTAAATTCTATTTTAAAATGTGTACGAAAACATGTAAAACGTGCATGTATACTGTAAAACAGTTGATTGATAAAAGGTTTCATGATATTTTGAATGTAAGTTTCCAAAAACAAACAGTATATAGAAATGTAAATAAACAAAACATAAACAAAATAAACATAATTGTAAAGAAACATTGAAAATTTATTATTGTATACTTTTAAATTTGTGATATCGATGATATGTTTCAAATCTATGTTAAAGTAAATCTGTGTGTGGGGGTCTCAATATAGCAAATTCAATTTTGCTTTCAGCAGATTACAAATACTTAGCAAAGTGTCAATCCGCTTAGTCAGTAATAATGTCAAATAGGTGAATATGATGGACTGTCTTGTCCCTCTCTATTTTACAATATGTATAAATTCTCCCTTAAAGTATCAGGTTTTCGAACTCTACATTTGTTTTTCATAATGATATTCACATCATTTGATTTTCTTGAATTTCCCCTGGGTATTTATTGATTTAGAAATCAGTTTGGAATATTTTGTACCATATCTCCCTATACCATCAGCTTATACAAGATACAGTGCAGTACATGGGTGAAAGTCATTTTGATTCACTGAGCCTCCCAAAGTCTTGATAAAGGCAAAGGCCCAGTTCACTCCTATTACCCATTTCTCTATATTCTTGTGCAGAGGAGTGTATGTTTAGAGTGCTGGAGGGGGAGGGGGTAACCAGGCCTGCCTCTCTCTTATTTCTTGTTTAGGGGGTGCAGAGGGGAGGAAAGAAGTGAACTATCTTGGTTTATTGATCACTTGAAGAATCTTTATAAATAGTTTTGCCTTTGATCAATCTTTTAAAGGCCCTGTGAAAAGTTTGAAAATATAATTTAATCAGGCTAAAGTTCATTCTATTTATGATTTGATGTACAAGTATAATATAAACTTTTAAAGCATTCTTAAAACAGAGCTCTTTCTGAACTTATGAGTGAACATTCATCTATCTAATATGTCCTGTAGAACACCTGGTCAAGTGAACACCTCATCAATTGAACGCCTCTAATATTAACTATGATCACATTCTTATTTTTCTTTTGTTGGTTTCTGAGAACATTATATTAGATGTTAAATTCAGGCTGTGAGGGGGGAGTATTTATGCAACATTTGTAATTTGTTAATACATTCATGACTGTTATTAGTTTTAGTAGGCCTATTAAAGTATAAACTATCTAATAGCTTGGACCTGCATCATGCTTCATATTTGACCCACATAAGCAGGGAAAGGAATTATGACTCAATGTACATGGTGTTAGTCAGGTTAATCCTATAATCTCCCTGTGGGAGAAAATCTAGTAAAACCTTTCTCTGGGTGTGCTAGCCAACTAACCCTTTCAGAATATACTTTATAAAGCGAAGTCCCTGTGTGTAGAGATGGGTTCAGTCTAGAAGTACAAAATGGGAATTAAATTTTTTTTATATTTTGAAACTGAATCATCATGTTCGCAGTTTTTTTGTTGACTTTAATACGAGAATGGCATTGAAAAGTTGGGGAGAAATGAATTGTTTGTGTAAAGGGTGTGTGGTATTTATAGTTGATTGGTGAGTGTATGTGGCTAGCCTGTAATACCCTGGTGCTTGGGGAGGCCAGCTTCTGTATTGATCAGTGGCTAATGCTATTTCTAAGACTCCAGGCCTCATGTAGAAATCAATAGTCAGTCCCTATGTCCCCCAAGTCTTCATGAATTATGTAGATGACCCAGGCTGTTACTTTAGTGGCTTCAGACCTTACACTAGGCAATTTTCAATGTATTCTCCATGTGTTGTTCTCCATATGTGTTGAACCTAGCTGTGTTATTTGTGCCATTTATGAGATCTTGTTTAATCAGTTCTGTTCATGATCAATCAAAATGCAATTTCAATTTGGAGATCATACTTTAATATTGTATTGTTTGTAAAATGCTCTAAAATCTGCCTCAGGCTATATTCAATTTTTACCTGTGTAACCAGTCAATTTTAGCTCTCATCTTGTGATTTAATCCATTTTTTTTATTTAAGATTATATCACTTCTTCAAAAGAGAGCATCTATTATTAGCTAGCCATTGGGAGAAACTACTTTTGGGAGAAGTGCATATTGTTGATGGTACTTGTTCTGACTACCCCAGGGATATTATCTTAGTATCGTCATGGCAACCAAATGTAGTCTCTTGTCACTTCCATGGAATGGTGGAAACAAACACATTTACTTTGAAAGTTATGATTCACATGCATTACATTTTTAGAGCAAAAAGAAAAACTTCAAACGCACTTTGTCATAAAGTGAACCAGACGCCTATATTTAGAGGAGTCTGTTTGAAAAAACAAAATCAAGGAAGCACCAATTTTATACAGTGTGTTCTTACCCGCTTTTTTATTTTATTTAATAGTACATGTAGTTCTACTATATCATTTAATATATCAGATTACCTCAATCATGTTAGATACATATAGCTATCACATGCATCATCCATACTGTCATTTCATAAATAACATTGTTATAAAAAATCAATATGTAAGATTTATAATGTTTGTGGTAATGTCATCAATGTTGATACACTATGATTTCACAATTAAATAGCTTTGACAATAGTTTCCTGTATTAAATTGGCAAAGACTAGAGAGTGTAAAATGTTGGAATCTTCTCCAAAAGCATGCCAATGATTCCATTTTGCATGCATTGAAAATTTTAGATGCAGAAATGTTTAAATTCATGAGAAATAAAAAAGAGGGGTTGAATTTTTTAAAAACTTTTTCAATTTTTGCCAGATTGAAAAAGGGTATTAAAGATTGAAGATTATCCTAAAAGAAATTCAGGGGTCTTCAGAAAATAGCCATGGCATGCATGAAATAATGAGAGCAACAAGTATTGTAAAATTATGAAAAATTCAGATTTAATGTCACTGTCTCCATCTCTTCTACATTCTTGAACAAAGTGGCTTTCCCGCCAACTTACATATATATAAACCCAAAATATCACCCTCCCATCCAAAGTTATATGATAACATATATACTGAGAAGTCAGCATATTTCATAGGGTAAAGTAAACTTGGTATGTTTAGGTAATGTTAGCTCACTAATATGTCAACCCAGTCATTTTTTGAGTTGAGGGAAAGACTAATAAATATGAGAGTGGTTCATTCATGGTATGTGAACCACAAGGTATGCTACAAAAATACCCGAAAATGCAGTATTTCACAAATTGATTACTTGTGGGAGGGGTGTGTGGTCGTGGTAACTATAGAGCTGACGAAAAGATAAGTTACTTGTACTTCCCAAGTGGATAGAGTATTGTAAAAGCCTTGACAAAGATATAGCAATTATCTAAAGTTTATAGCTTCAATTTTAGAAGATTTCAAGTAAGCCCCAGATGTAAGAATCAAAGGGTATGCCCTATGCATAGAGTACTCCCTTTGAATGTCAGGGATAACATATGAGAACTTTGAGTATATATTCCTTTACTTTTCAGAGAGGCTGCTGTACCCTCAAATGTTACTAAAATACAAGTTTAGTCCATATTACAGTTATCATCAGGGGTGTATGTTATGAATAATTCACCCAATGCTATAGGCTATCTCAGCAATACTTGACCCCAGAGGGTTGACAACTATGTCTGGATAAGCAACACATCTTATAGAATTTTAAATGGTGTTTTGTACCAGGATCTCTGAATGTATAAAGGTTAGGTGTGTAAAGCAAAAAAGTGTTTGCCTGGGAAACTAATGTCACACCAGGTCCTCATGTGTAGATATTTCTCACAAAACTAGATCTCTTCACCCTGCAAACATAGTGTATACTGTGCTTGCAAAAAATATGAGGGACCATCTCACTAAATATGTTTTGACTGATTGTGAGTTAATTCTCTCTCGGAAACTATTGACTATAGAATGATGGTTCATTACATAATTAAAAAAACTCAAAATTAAAATATGAATTTGGATATGGGTTAGGGTAGGAGGGGTGTAGTTTATGAGCTATATCTCTTATGTCACTTTTAAGGGGTGGGATTTGTGAGGCACTGATATGGCCCCTGAAGAATGCTTTTTAACCTTACCTTGACCACTCATACATGCAAAGATACATGTACATGTTTTAAAAGTAAGATATTTAACATGAAATTCTAGTAGAAGTAAAGCTGGACTGACCAGTGTGGTTTTCAGTGTCACAGCTGCAACATTGGCCATCATTATTGGCAAATATTAGAGAGTATGTGTTGTCAATATTCTGCAAAAGGCTAATAAGCCCATAAAACAGATATATAATTTAACAGTGGTAGAATTTGAATAGAATATGATTAAACCTAACATTTAAAAATTATAAATTCACATATAGGTAGGTGTCCGATTCCAGCCAATCTGAACAAAGTATTTCATATAACTGCACTGCATTATGTATAATAACATTAACATTATATAACCTACCCAGTCATTCGTTGAATGGTTGTCAAGTTGACAATTTGACTCTTCAGATTGAAATTGATGCTTTGTCAACTTGACCCTTGCAGAAAGTTTCATTGAAAATATGTTCTTTTAGTGATTTTGTATCTTTAGGTGATTTCGAAAGTCCAAGACTCAATGCATTATGCCTGAATCATTCCACTCAGGAGTTTTCCGAAACTTCACACTTAATGCTTCGCATCTCGTGTAAAGGTTGAAATAACATGTTTTTGAGAAATGATTCCGTCCACATTGCACTGAGTTCAGGGCTTAAATCCTTAAACAATACTTGCAAAACTGGCCCAAAAATTGATGCATGGACATTTACCATTAAAGTAGTGCCTTGCCTACCAATAAATTAAGATGGTGTCAATGGATGGACATAGATTACACCCCATCCATAAGTTTGGCAACCATATCCGGGCAACCATAACTCCACATTGAATATTTTGTTAAAAATGTTTACGTTAATCGTTTGATTTTGGTTCTTTAAAAGTGAGCTTCATATACACTCATGTACTAGGCTCTAGTACTCCGGGTAGTTTATGTTTAAATCTTAACAATGTTCCTCAGAAGGAGATTTCACATGTGGTCAAAATGGAACTTCTGGTTGGAAAACTTTGGAGGGGAGTGTATGTCTTATTTTAGACAGTCATTAGACAGTATTTAAACATTGACGGTCTACCTATACCTTTTGCATTTTCTCTTTGATGTAGTTTCACGTC